ATCCCCTGGGTGAGGATCGTCCCCCTGAGCCTCCCCCGAGCGTGGGCAAAGCCCTTCGCCCCGACCCCGACCTCCTCTTCCTCTCGCAGCATCTCTGGGCCAGGACTTGGCGAGCATCGACTTTAGAAAGTTTAAACCCGGTTCCAAGCCTGGGCTCGGGGGTTCAGCCGGAGCTGTACGCAAAGCAGGAGGCCTCCCCTTCCTCCTCCTCCTCCTCCTCCTCCTCGCCCCCTCCCTCCCCGAGCAGCACCCCTGGGGGGAACCACAAAAAGAAGGTTTTGGGGAGGATTTGCACAAAGATGCCTCGAACAATAGAGCCTCGTTAGGCTCCAGCGAGCAGGCGGAGAGGCAAAGCGGAGCTTTAACCGGGCTAGAGCCGGTCCCGGGCTCAACCCCAGGCTCAGCCCCACAACCCCCGGCTGAAGAACTGGTGGGGACCCCCGGGCCTGTCCCCACCTCCGGGATCAATGGGGAACCCCGTCGGGAACACTTTGACCGGTTGATCCGGCAATCCAAGCTGTGGTGTTACGCCAAAGGGTTTAACCTGGACGGGAAAAATATGCGTCAAGGAGGGAAACCGGAGTTTTATAAAAATCCCGAACTTAAATCTCCCGGTTCTAAACGACCCGAAAATCCCGGTATTTTATCCAGCCAAGCTTTGGGAGGCAATGGCTCGGAAAGGAATGCCAAGCGCAGACGCTTTGCCAGAGGCGCTGAGGCAGAAAAACAAGGCAGCTCCTCCAAAGGGAGATCACAAAAGACTCCGAGGAGGAATTCCAAACCGGGAAACATTCCCTGCAAACGCCCCGGCAGCGCCGGGCCCACCCCACCTCGGAATTCCTTCAGCCTCATGGGCAACTTCCCCTGTATCCCCTCCTTGGTGGTGGGGGAGGACGGGGATCTGTGTCCCGCCTCTTCCCTGGGGGGTAAAAACTCTTGGATCCTTTCCAAAACACACCCGTTGTGGAGTTGGCATTTGGGGGGTAACGCCATCCCCGTGCCCCCCAGCCTCAAATTCCGGGGCTATGGCTTGGAGCATCCCTAAGGACAGCGGACAGCCCGGAGG